TCTCTATTGCAGATCCATCCCTCCACCTTTGCTGCCACTGATGCCCAACCTTTCTCTTTGTTGCTGCCACCATTTCGACCCTCCTTGTTTTCATAACCCCCCACATGGTTCCCTATTGTTTGCTTACTGTCTTGCACCAGGGAAATAACCGTCTTACTGTTTTCTGCTTGCCAATAACCTTTTTCCACTACCACGTCCTCCATACAATCCACTCTACTCTAAATGTTGTGTTGTGTTTGTTGCTATTTTAGATTTTTGGGTGGGCTTATTATTATATTTTTTTCCTTTTAAGTGTGTTGGTTGTAACCACATATTTACGTTCAGTAATAATAATTGCTTTTCTGTTGCGGTTTGAATTAATTCTGGTATTATTTAGTATTAGAGCTAGTCTAACCTTAGTATTATCCAATGGTTTCTAGTATTCACAAATACCCAACTCAATCTTCAGCCAATAAATCTTCTCTTTACTTATTTTTCAAAACGACCACCAAAAACTTTTCTTTCCACTCTGCGTAAGCTCTATACATCTACTTCCATATACCGAAACCCAAACCTTTTTCGTGCTACCGAGGAGACAGTAATTGGAATCCTAACCGATGGGAAACAAACACGATGCTCTTTATGAAAAATCCATAAAGAGGTGTCCTGGAGATTTCTAGGGAGGATATGCATTGGGAAACACTGGATGAAATGATGAAACTAGCCTCCAACAAGTTAATGAAGAGTGCATCTCAATGGTGCGCGAACTTGAAGATTCTTTGACAACAAGAAGAAAAGAGTTAAATTACTATATGGTTCAAGATGAAAAGAGGGATGCAACAATAATAAGTACTAGCCTAATGTTGACCGAATGTTACGTCTCCAGGAGCCCACCACACCTTAAAGGCCGGGTTTAGGATTGTACTGCTAAGAGTACACCCGAGAGAATATCCACCTGAGGAGACACTAGTTCAGAGAGGAGAACAAGTGGAACCAATTCACATTCCCAAATTCTTCTCATCTTAGAAATGTTTCGAGTGCCATGGATATGTGCATATTGAATTAGATTGCACAATCAAGGTAATGTTCTATTTCACTGAGCAGGGCGTTGTGTTGTTGAAGAAATGTGCAATGATACAGTAGATACTGAAGAATGTGATGACACAAAGGAGGAGTATCATATTCTAATTGCTGAGAGAGAAAAACACGTTGTTCAGGATTCCTTGAGAGAGATTCCAACAAAATTAACATTAATGGTCCAAGATGGTCTTGAGTATGAGAAATTGACAATAGACACATGACAACCCCTGATTAGATAATTTTAGACGTTTCATATATATATAATTTACTTCTTGAGTTGCTTCTACTGAGAAAGGTCCAATATGCAGAGATTAGATTTTTTTGTGCTACTTTTGGAGGGCTATATGAAGCTATTCGAATATTGAATTCTGTTCAGCATTATATCCAGTGACAGATGTCCAGATAGGAGGGATGAATCACAACTTTGAAAATTGCCTTAGGAGTTTGATGAAGAACAAAATCCTACAATGAGGCCTAAATCCTACTAGATAAGAAGAAGATGCCTCTCATAAGTGATTGCTAGTGAGAGTTTCCAACCTGTCATAGCTTCTCCCCAACATTGGTTCCTCCTTACATACTTGTTTATCATATACACGTAGCGGTGCATGAGAAGTTGGAAAAGTAGTTTACATGATTAATGACTTGAGACCTAATTGGTGATAATACTCGTTTATATACAGTGTCAGCTCGCCTTAGCTTTCTTCCCAACATTGATTCTTCTTTACAAACTTGTTTATTATATATGCTCAGTGGTGCTTGAGAAGTTGGAGAGCTATTTACAGATGAGATGACTCGAGACTTGATTCATGAGAATACTTGTTTATATACAAATTTAGCTTAGGTTGTGCCAAAATAGGATATATATTTATTATACCAGGATGTGTTTGGAAGAACATCTATAAGGCTGACTTACCTAGAGCTTGTAAGATTTTCGCTATCTTCAATGGGGCCAACTTGACTACTATTAGGAGACCTAAGTGTTGACTGATGAGATTGTAGCTCCCCCAAACCTGGATACTGACATGGGAGCTTCTCACATGGGACTCTTTTCGCGATCCCTACAATCCCGCCATCCATGCTACGATGTGCGGCCCCTGCTAAAATCACACGACCACTACCACATCTGGATTGGGTACAAGGGCACCTAGACGACATGGATTGGTTCATATCGTGATTTTGAGGGTCGACCGATCTTCCACATGTGGATTTACCGCCTCCTTGTGAGAGAAGGCCCAATCATATCTATCTTATATGTTTGCTTTTTTGTGTTTTAGGTTTTTAGTTTTATCATGTGTTTTGTATTGGGACAGTCGCCGACATCTCTCCTTCACTTCGAGAGTTGTATCCTATGATTCAGGTGGTACTTTGGATGTATCTTGGTATCCAGGTGGTGGTTATCTTCCCTCCATCTCTCCCAGTCTCCCTCCATCTCTCCCGGTCTCCCTCCATCATTGTAACCACCCAAAACAAGACTTGTTTAATGTTTTTGCCTGTAGATTTCATGTCCAATCCTTCCTTTTCGCTGCCATCGTTGATGTCCAACTCTTTCTTTTTTGTTGTCACCACTATTTCAGCCATTCCTCATTATTGTCATCACCTCGAACAACCCTTCCACATTGCTAGCTATTGTTTGCTTATTGTCTGACAACGACGAAACAACCACCTTATTGTTTACTGCTTGCCGAACACCTTTTTCTACTTTCGTGTTATTTTCTAAACCCTCATCGAGCATCGCCATCACCCCATGGCCCACCATAGTTTATGTGTGTGTCATGTCTATTGATATTTCAAATTTCCAGGCTTTTTGTTATTGTATTTTCTTTCAAGTACTTATCTATTTGCTTTTAGTAATAATATTTAATGTTCCTATTGTGATGTGGATTAACTTAACTCTTATATATATATAGAAAGATTAGTCAGATGCTATTATACAAGCCTCCCGACTAATCTCATGTGTCTAAGAATTCTATCCCGCACATAAGCAGGATTAAGCCCGTGAGCCCAGATGTCTTACAAACTCTGCCAACCTAAGGGTCACAATAGACGACATATATATATATATATATATATATATATGACACACGATTATTATAGTACTTTCTCTTATAAAATTGGATGCTAAAATTATTATCAATGATTTTCAATCAGTTGAATTCCATGCCTATGAGTTGACTTCTTCAATTTTCATTTTATTTAGGTCATTCCCTTCTCTGAGTTACCATAATTATCTTTTGTTTTATTTGTTCATTTATTTTATTTCCTTTTATTCATAAAAAATGATATATTTCTTAGTGTTTGTCAATAGTAATTTCCAATGCCCGACAATTCAGACCGAACTAATTTTCTTTGAAATATTCCTTTCAGCAGGTGGAGTACTCAGAATGATTAATATGCATATATTACATAGAGAGCACCCGTTGAATTGAAATTTACAAGTAAGACATCTAAGTGATTTTTTTGAACTATTGAATTGATGCATTTATGCGTGCTATGATCAGATAATTGAAACAATTCGATAAATAATAAAAAACATGGCCCGAGTTTTTATCATGAATTTTGATTTAGGAGCGAGAATTTGAAAAAGGAGTGAAAGAGGGTGCTTGAATTGTAAATAGCAATGTTTCATTTATGTCAATTGTATTCACTTTCATTACTTATTTGAGTTTTATTTCAATATTTTTATATTATTCTAAAAGGAAAATATATTATAGAAATAAATTGGGGAACCGGGGACTCAACTAACATTAACTTTTCATACTGGTGGAGTATTCACGGGTGGTACTGCCGAACATGTACAAGCTCCTTCTAATGGAAAAATAAAATTTGATGAGGGTTTGGTTCATCCCACACGTACCCGTCTCGGGCATCCTGCTTCACGGGCATCCTGCTTTTCTATGTTTTATAAACTTGTATGTAACTATTGAGAGTCGGGATATTAGTCATAATGTAAATAGGCTTCAAGGGTTAGACAAGTTCATAAAGTGGGTAGATGGAAATAAATAACTCCATATCCATCCCACAACATATTATTTTAAAACACGTCCTAGAAGATTTATAAAGAAGAAACATGGAAGGTTTACATGCATGCCCCTAAATTCCTATCTATTGACATTTATGACATTTTAAATTTTAATTTTGCATGCTTGCCATCCAACTCTATGCATGAAAAAGTTGCATTTCACTTCTGGATGTCATATGAAAGATTTGAGTGATATAAATATAAAAAAATAAAACGGTAGATATAAAAATAGATAGAAATTGGAGGGTATGTATGTAAATTCCCCAAAAAGGAAAATCAAATGTTACAATTAAGACATTGGGCCAACAAACGGGTTCAAAATGGTGGGTTTTTATTTATTTATTATTAAAAGGGTCTTCTGGAGCAATAAATTATTGCAGTTGTTAGAACCCTAACAATTCCAAGCTACCCCTGAACCACTTTGGACAAAAAGCGCAGACTTGGAATCTAATTTGACTTAACTATATTAATTAATAACTAAGGGTCTGTTTGGGGTAGCTGCAACATATTGAATAATCTGCTGATAAACTAGGTGCGGTGGCTATTACAAATTTTTATTTTCTTGTAAAAGTCAAACCGCTGTCACAAAGCTGTCACCGCACCTAGATAGGTGCGGTGTGAAAACACTGTTTTCAACCTTTTGAAAACACATAAGATGTCAAAACGCAGTTTACCCAAACACAGTTTACCCAAACATGTTAGAACATGTTAGGTGCATTTTCAAAATGCCACCGCACCAAAAAAACTGCCCCAAACGGACCCTAAGGCTCCATTTAGCTTGTAGATAATTTGAATGCAGAGTAATAAAAAGCACTTATTTTTTACATTTTATGTATTTAAAATACCATAAGTTATTTTATTTGTTGTAAAATAAGTATAAGAGATAATCATTTTTGTTTAGTTTAAACTTAAATACTTTCAGAATAAAACATGTTGGCAGGCATGACAGGACAATGGCTGGCAGCTCTGGCGGTGTCACGATTTGTTGGCAATAGCAAGCGATGAATTGTGGATGGAGACAATGAGGTAGGGATGGTTGTGGTGCTAGTGAAGATACGCAATTGTAGCGAATATAGAGCAATAGAACTGTAGTGGGCCGCTTTAGGCGGTGGCTAGTTGCTGGCGAAAAGAGACAGTGGTGGCATGGTAAGCGATAGCAGTGATCAACTTTCTGTGCAGTTAATGAGTATAAATTGTGTATTCAAAGCTTGATCAAGTTTGGAATGCATCTACATTCATTTTACTTCAGACAAAACATCAATACTTTCAAAATTAATGCCGTTGCAATATTTTACGCCCATTTTACTTCAAATTAAATAGAGATGAGCGCATAATGGTTTGACTAACCTCAATAAAGCTCTTTTAACCATTGTCTCAAACCCTTGAATATCTGTATCACTTGAATCAGATAATGAACGGCCAACTAAAATTGATCTGAACGACCTATACCTAAGATTGAAATCATCTCCTTTATCACTTCATGTGTGAGCTATTCACGTGAACTAATGTTTATGTAAAAATCTTGATATGGTGATGGTATGTATTTGTCACCCATGTGAAGTAGATCTAACAAACACATGGGTTTGGTTCCTAGCAGCAGTTCTAGGCCCATAATGATTTGCTAGATGCTTAATTTATTAATAATTAGAAGAATTACCCACATTTAAACCTAATTTTTTTTATATACATTTCACCTTATTTATATATGAACATATATGTATTCTACATTTTAAAAGTTTAATGTTGGTATTTTTTATATGATATGAAAGTTTTGGTTTTTATAATTTGGCGGTATATATGTAAATACCCCTTAATAGTTTTTTTTCTTTTATTCAAACTAATAGCTTGCTCATATAGTTAGCATTATTAGGTTGATTCAATTGATTTACAAATTTGTGTGCTATTAATATTTATAGAGTGCTTTACATAATGATTTGATTGATTACTCTACTTTCTAGTCAAGATAGATTTACTAATGCTATTAATATGGAGGAGGCTTTTTTCAAACATAAAAGACCGGCCCGTTTTTTGTGGATGGTGTTAGAAACACTGCCTACTATCATGTTCTTATTAAAAAAAGAAGAATGATGAATTATATTAGGAGAATTAAACATGATAATGGAAACATTCTTGATTCTTTGGAGCATATTGAAGCTAATGGTATTGATTATTACACTAATCTTTTTAAATGTAATGATAGTTCTCTTACATATATTGATAAGGATCTCTTTGCTAAAGAGATCAATTTGGTGTCTAAGATAGATCTTTCAGCCATTCTTGATCACAATGAAGTTAAAAATGCCATTTTTTCTATCAATAGTATTAAATCTACAGGGTATGACGGTTATACATCTGCCATTTTTAAATCCTGTTGGGATATTATTGGTAATGATGTTATTTTATGTGTTTAGGATTTCTTTAATGGAAAAGATATTCCTAAGTATTTTAAAGCTTCAAATCTGGTTCTTATTCCCAAGAACAAGAATGTTTTTCATTGAGATGATTTTAGGCATGTTAGTCTTAATACTGTTTTTTCTAAGACAACTTCTAAAATTGTGGTTGACAAATTTCAGGATCATCTCAATACTCTTTTTTTAAGAATCAATATGCTTTCATTAAAGGCAAATCAATTGTTGAAAATGCTCTGATTGCTTAGGAGATGATCTTGGCGCTTGATAAAAATTGCAGGAATGGTAATTTTTATATTAAGATGGATATTAAGAAAGCCTTTGACACTATCAAATGAGATTTTATTTTGGTTTCAAGGCCCGAGGTTTTAATAAAGCTTCCTTTCTTCTTATCAAAAGGATCTTTGATAACAACTATTATTCTATTTTGATTAATGGTAATAAATGTGGTTTCTTTAAATCTTCTAGAGGAATCAAACAGAGGATCCTCTTTCTCCAATTTTTTTTATTATGACTTTTGATTATTTATCCATGTATCTTAATAAGATGTTTAATAACTATCCCAACATGTATTATTCCATCAAGGACAATTTTGGTATTTCACATATAGCTTATGCTGATGATTTGGTTATTTTCTCTAATGCTAACAAAAGGTCTATCAAAAGAGGTTGGGAAGGTCTTAACCACTTCCAAGATGCTTCTGGGTTGGTTTTCAATTCTAATTAATGTATTTTCTTTAGTTCTAAATGGATCCCTATTACAAAGAAGAATTGGATTCAAGACTTTACTAGTTGCAGTAAATAAAGTTTGCTTATCACTTATTTGGGTTTCAACCTTGATAAAGGTAAAAGAAAGGTTCATCTTTTTGATAAACTTATTGAGAAGATCAATTAGAGAATTTCATCTTGGGAGAATCTGCTTTTGTCTTTTGAAGATAAGGTTACTTAAAAGTGTGCTTACTTCTATATCTCTTTATACTATTCTTTTTATGAAAATTCCTTCAAATCTTTTTAAAAAAACTGGAGAATATTTTTAATAAATTTCTCTGGCCTCGTAAAGGCCTTAAAATTCATTGGATGAGTTGGGTGAAATGTGTAAACATACTATTTTTGGTGGTTTGGGTTTTAGAAGCATCAATAATTCTATGAAAATGATTTTTATGAAGCTCTGATTTTAATTTAGAAGTGGTAATTCTCTTTGGTCTCTTTTAATGAGAAAGAAGAATTATGGTAGTTCTCACTCTATTTCTATCAGTTCAAATTCATCTGATTTCTTTGTTTGGAAGGAAATGCTTAAAGTTGCCAGAATTACAGAGGATCTCTTATGTTGGGATGTTGGTAATGAGAGTTGTAGCTTCTGGTATGATAATTGGTTTGGTGAAGCTCCTCTGGCTAATTTTTATTTGAACCCTTTTGAGATTGAGTTTGCTGTTAATAATTGTTGGAACAATAACAATTGGGACTTATAGAAATTGAATGGCTTAGTTAGTAGAGAGGATACTAATCTGATTGCTAAGATCCCTATTACCGTCGGTAACGATAATATTAAAATTAAAGGTCATAACAGTAGCTCTATCTCTAAAACTCTTGCCAAGTCTCTAAATTTTTCTAATGGCATGAATTTAAAATGAGCTTGGAGTTCTTTCTTGAAGCCTTCTCATTCATTCTTCTTTTGGAAGCTTTTCAACGTAGTATTTCTATGAATGATATTATTAAAATGAAGGGTTTGATGCTCTAGTTGTTTTCTTTGCAATCAAGACGAGGATAATGCTAACATATTTTTGTGAACAGTGTTTTTGCTGAGGATATCTGATTAAATGTTTTTAATCTCTATGATTAAAGAATTAATGATTTAAAGTTGAATTCCATTACTGGTTTTTGCAACTGTTGGAGGAATTACAGTGGAGGTTTGTTCTTTGCTTCCATTCCTATTATAGTCTTTTGGTTCCTTTGGTTTGCTAGGAATGAAGCGAAACACAAGTGGTAATTTGATTTCTAAACTTTCGTGTTTTACTTATTTTAGAAATTTTATTTTTAAGATGCTTAATTATGACAGGTTTAATAAGCTTATTGGAAGTGATATGTTGGAGGTTTTTAATAAATTCAATATCTCTATTCCTGCTAATTGTAAACCTGTTACTTACTTGGTTATGTGGAAGAAACCTAATAAAGGTGTTATGAAGGTCCACATAGATGGTAGTTGGAATAATTTGATTGCAAGTATTGATGGAGTTTGCTGTAACTCCATTGGCTTTTGTTTACTGTGGTTTTCTGCTCATGTGCATGCAGTTCTCCTATTTGTGCTGAAGTTGAGTTGGTTTTCTTGCCTTTGTTTCTGAATGTTAGATGCGGTTGGAATTATATCGTGATTGAATTGGATTCTCTTGAATTGTGGAATTATTGCAATAGGAAGAAAGAACATCCTTGGTTCTTGACTTTTCATATCAAAAGAATTTTTGTTTTACTTGAGTTTGTGCAGGTTTATTGGATGTTTATACATAGTGAAGACAATCAATGTGTAAATTGGGCAGCTAAATTAGGTTTTGGACTCTCTTAAGTTTAACTTTTCCACTATTATTCCTTTGGAGCTGGATCGATTGATTAAAAGTGACTTTCTGATCATCCCTTATATTTTTACCGATCATTCTTTTTGCGTGGAGTTGTAATCGTGGCTAAAGTTTCTTAGATTTTTGTTTTTCTTGTGCGACTTGTATGTGTGGGGGTGTTTAGTAGAACTATCAACCACCTCTTCATATAGAATTCTTTAAAAAAATAGAGTGCTTTACATTAATATAAACATACGTTTACACACTTACACGAATCATTTTAACAAGTTGCACTAGTACTTGTTAGTGCTTATTATTTATTTGAGAAATTTTCATACACACCACACAAATCTTATGTATTTCCATATATAACCCCTAAAAACTGATATTTACATTTAGATCACTTTGAAGCCATACAACTATGGATGCAAAATGTGCATCTCACTTAGAAAAAAAAATTATGATGATATTTTTATGTAATGTTAATATTTAAAGTGTAAATATGAAACTTTAAGTGTTGAATAATAAGATATATAAAAAGTATCAAAATAGTCTCTAAATTCTTTAAATTGGATCCAAAATAGTCTATATAAATAATTATTAGTGATCAATTTTAAAATAATTGTAAACTAAAATGAATATTTGTTTTTACACTTTATTAAATAATAATTACTTATAAACTATATTTAGTATTTACGAATCATTTGTTAATCAACATATACTGAAAAAATTTCCCTAATTAGGGAGAAATTATTGCATACGAACACCGCATGCAGAGATTCATGCAGTGTCTGATCTTGACCGTAGATCACGGTGATCTATGACCAGAATATATTTCAATTTTTTTTTTTAATTTAGGTGGGGCTTAACGAAATACATAGATCACATGAGTTACAGTCAGGAACGGACTTTACATGCATGAAATAACATGCATAATTTTTACTAATTAGGGCACTGCATTTTGATTGCTAATTCCACGGCTCGCCATATATGCCTTTCGATCTGTTCTCTTTGCTTTTTCTTCTTCTTCCTCGAGAAATAAAAGCAGGCTTTGGGAAGGAAGGAGATCTGAGCAGGTTAACAATGGCCGTTCTTCTCTACCACTCCTTCGCCTTCGTTTCTCTCTTAGCCTACGGAATCTACCACTTTATCTCCGCCACCCGCTCCTTCTGCAAGCCCGCATCGCCCTCATCATCCGGTTCCCGCTCCCCGATCGCTGGCACCGGCGACTACATCGCTCGTCCCTACTACCCCCTGTTTCTTTCATCCCACCTGCATCACATCTTCCGTCATCTTCCTCTCTACCTCGCCTTCCTCTCCCTACTTGTCTCCATAGCTCATCACGCTTTCCTCTCCACCGTTGCGGCCAACAGATTCTCCTCTCTACAGACTGCCGCCTCCCTTCTCCTTTTCCTCTTCATCGCGATTTCGTTATTTCTTCCCCTCTCCCTACCCCCAGACCTCATATTTCTCCTCTCCGCTGTAGCCTTCGCTCTCCTCTCTTCTATTTCCTCCGCCTACCAACCCTCGGACCTCCAATCCAAGTGCGATTCTATATCTTCTGTCATCTCCGCTGCGTCCGCGGCTTTCTCTCTTGCACTGGCTGTCTGCCCTCGCCTCTTTCTGGCGGAGCTTGCCCTCGCCGTCTCTGTATCCCTGCAGGGACTCTGGTCTCTCCAAACTCTCCTCTCGCTTTACGTTGGGGGCTTCATACCTGAGGGTTGCCATCGGCTCCTCGAAGTTACCGATGAATCCATAAGATGCGAACTCGAGGACTCACGTAACCGCGCCGCCGCCCTCCTTGATCTCGCGTTCGTACTTCACACCACGTTAATCTCCGTCATTGCCGTCATCTTCTATGCTGTTCTTACCCGGGGTTCGGGTGGAGGCCTCCCAAGACGCTACAATGGCGGAACCTATGAGGCTTTGCCAACAACTACGTCGTCCGGAGGACTCAATGATTTTGATCACATCCAGATGAAGGCCATCACGAAGAATTCGACGCAGGCTTGAATTTGACTCGAGTAAACGGGAAAAAAACGGATCGCTTGCTTGTAGAAATCGTAAGATAAATTTTTCTTAAGATACATAGCTGCTTAACTGTAGAATTTTGTAGATCTGCCATTGATAGCAGAAAGTTGTCCATGAAAACTTGGATATTTATTGGTTCAACTTCATTTGATGTAGATCTGAGGTGTTTTTTGCTGTTCTGAGATGAATTGGTAGCTTATATTTCCATGTTTTTGAAATGAATCCTTACAGCTTATCAGTGTAAGAGAGTGTATTCGGTGTTGAAGGTGCTTCTATCAGTACAGAGGGGAAGCCTTGCATTCTTTAGAAACAAGGCAGTCTGGAATAAAACTTAGATTTAGCTATTCTGAGCTAAATTTAGCTCAGGATACAGGACACTGCTTCCAGAACTGCAAAACATTTTCATCAAGTAACAAAAAGTCTTTTTATATTTTACTATATTTTATCATAAAACAATCAAAGTAGTTGCAGATAGTTATTTGCAACTAAAAAAAATAGGAAATTTACATAAATACCACACAATTCCTTATTTACTTACATATGTAACACCCAGAGTTTGATATTTACACTTATAACACCTTGGTGTCATAAATTTATGCTTGAACAACGTGTATTTCACTTTTAAAAAGATAGTGATGGTGGCATTTTCTTATGTAATTTTATAGATTTGAGCTGTATGCATGTAAATATGAATGTTTATGTGTTACATATGTAAATACATAAGAATTGTGTGGTACCTATGTAAGTGGACAAGTTATTGTGATTATCATCATTATTTGCTTGAACTCTTAACCCAGCTATTTATTGTAGGCTTTGGATTTGCATTATTCATTTAGTCCCATCAAGTTTTGAATCATTGAACTTCAAAATTCAAATATTTTTCTTGCAGTTCAAAAACAAATTTCCTGTATTTTGATCTATATTTCATAAGGAATATCAAGAACCAGTTTTTTTTTCCAATTTTCACTACATGTTATCTTTGCGAGTAAAAGTTTTAGATGAGATTTGATGTATTGTCTTGTTTTCAGCAGACATCTTGAAGGGACCTTTCTGAAATAAGAACACATTGTTTTCTTGTGTCTATTTTAGGGTGCTTACATCCTTTTTGTTTCAAATTATTTTTATTACTTGTTCATAATATAATATGAAATACTGCCATTGTTAGATCCTAATCTCCGGATGCGAAAAGTGGAGGGTTGTGTTAGGTAGTCGGCAATCAACGTAAATTTTTTGACGAGAAATCATAATATGAATCATTTAAATTATTATGTAAATGCTAGAGCATACCCTAGAGGTGACGCATTGTATGACTTGAATATAATGAAAAACTTGCAAGTGTCGTTACATCAACGCCCAGTTGTAATGTCAAACAAGGGTTCTCATATTATAGACGAATACGAGTAAAAAAGTTAGTCTATGAAATTAATATTGGGATAGAACCTTGGAATATAGATGCTCTCACTGCTAGATTGATGGAATTATTAGATATTATGATTCATATGAAGTTAAATATCTTAGCATTCAAGAAACTATGTGGGTTGAAGAAAAGACTAATGAGATTGATAGCTTAGGTTTAAAATTTTGGTATTCCAGTAAGAGTCACACTAGAAATGTTGTATGTGTAATTATAAATAAGAGTTTGACAGATAATATTATAAATATTAATAGAATTAGAGATAAAATTATAATACTATTTTTTTTTTTTTGATACTATGACTTTTAATGCTATAAGTGTTTATGTTTTTCAAGTAGGTTTATGTATAGTTTCAAAAGAAAAATTTTTGAATGATCTAGAATAATTAATATAAGTGATATCTCTTGAAAAAAGAATTTTTATTGAAGGAGATTTAAATGAACATGTTGGTAGAGTAATGTAAGATTTTAGAAATATTCATGATGTCTACAATTTTAGAGTGATTAATAAAGAAGGTAGAACCATATTAGATTTTATTTTAGCTTATAATTTTGTTATTGATAATACCGTTTAAGAAAATAGATGAATATGTTATTACTTATAAGAATAGACCTAAAAAACATAAATTGAATATTTTTTTATGAGAAAAAGAGATCGTCGAGAATGTAAAGATTATAAAGTCCTTCCAAGTGAAATTTAAGTATTCAACATCGATTATTATTTTTAGATTTTAAGATGAGGAATTAGAAGATAAAAAATATAATGAAATATTGTCATAGAATTAGATTGGGGAACCTAGAAGATGCAAATAAATTTATTTTTATGAGCGAACGTCGAGATTTCAATATTTGAGAGGTTTATGAAGAAGTTAATTATATATGGGATAAAGTAACAAACACTATTACACAGGTAATAAAAGATGTACTTGGAGATTCAAAAGGAAAAGTTTTTGTAATTAAGAATAGTTGGTGGTAGAATAATAATGTACAAGAGAATATAAGATATAAAAAGCTTTGTTATAAAAATTGATTTAAATGTAAAAGCTTAGGGAACTGAAAAAGTATAAGATTGCCCGTGGGGAGTTTTAGAGAATAATTTATGACGTGAGGAATTCTGCTTTTAGAGATTTTTATAATAAATTATATACTACAGAATATGAAAAATGTATGTATAAACTAGTCAAATAAAGGAAAAAAAAGTAAAGATTTAATTCAAGTAAAGTGTATTAAAGATGAAAATAAAAAAATAATTTTTTTTAGAATAAGATACTCAACAAGGTGAGTGAGCTATTTTGATAAATATCTCAATGAAATTTCTGAAAGTACGATAGATTTTAGTGATCTTAATATCGTTAATAATAATAAAATAATTTATTTTTACTGTCACATTAATAAAAAATAAGTTGAGAAGGCTTTAAAGAAAACTAAAGGAGGAAAATCAGTAGGATACGATGATATCCCAATTGCAGTGTGGGAATATTTAGGAGATTTGAGAGTTTGTTGACTTACTAAAGTCTTTAATATTGTTTTAAAAACTAAAAAATGTCTGAAGAGTGGAGGACTAGTATTTTGATCCCATTTTTAAGAATAAAAGGAATACACAAGAGTGTGCAAATTATAAAAGAATTATGTTGATGTGTCATACTTCAAAATTATTGAACAGAGTAATTGAACATAGTTTAAGGTGTGATACAAATATTTCTCATAATCAGTTTGGATTTATGCTGGTCAGGTCTAGTATGAAAGTTATACATTTACTGAGAGGTTTAATGGGGATGTAAAGAGAGAATAAGGAGGATCTACATATGATTTTTATTGATTTTGAAAAGCCTTACGATAAGGTTCCAAGAGTGTCATTTGGAGAGGTCTAGAGAAGAAAGATGTTGATATGACTTATATTCAAACCATTAAAGATATGTATACTAAAGTTGCTACTTGGGTTCGAACTGAAGGAGGATTGACCAAATTTTTTTCTATTTCAGCTGGATTGCATCAGTAATCGGCTTTAAGCCTATATCTTTTTGCTTTAGTTATGGATGTTCTTATGTGACATTTACAGGAGGATGCACGTTGGTGTATGCTTTTCGTTGATGATATCCTTCGTGTGGATAAGATTAGGGAAAGTGTTTCAGAAAAACTTGAATTATGGAGGTTTTCATTGATGTCTAAAGGCCTTTGTTTGTATGGATCTAAAATTTAATACATGGAATGTAATTTTACTTGTAGTAGATATAATGTCAAAGTTGTAACTATGAGTGATCAAATCATTAAAAAGTGCGATCATTTTAGATATCTTTGATCTATTACTCAAACTGATTGTGATATAGATGTTGACGTTATCAATAGAGTTCAAGTTGGTTGGTTGAAGTGGAGGAATGCATCTGCCTTTTGTGCAATAAAAAGGTACCACTTAGACTTAAAGAAAAAAATTATATGATGATGGTGAGACCTGTAATGTTTATGATCTAGAATGTTGACTTTTAAAAGAGAAGCATAAAACTAACTGCTGCTGAGATGAGAATGCTTAGGTGGATGAATGGCTTGACACTTATAGACAAAATGCGAAATAAATGTATTTGTAAAGGGTTGATGTAGCTCCAGTGGTAGACAAGATTAGATAGAGTCGTCTTAGATGGTTTGGTCATAGTAAAGGTCGACCATTTAATGCGCTTAGGAGAGTAGATGATCTTAATGTATTAGAATTGAATGGAAATATAAGACTCTTTAGGACACAATAGAGAAAAAAAAGATTCATGTAACCCCGCCTAGTTGGATAAAAGCTTGTTATTGTTTGTTGTTCATAGTATAATATGAAGGTTTGATAGCCTTAAATATTTGAGGCATTTACATATAGCACACAATTCTAATGAATTTACATATAACACACCTAAATTTTTGTATTTACACACATAACACTCAAATCTTTAATATCACATAAAAATAAGTACTATTTTTGCTTTTTAAAAGTGAAATACACCTTTTCATGTATAGATTTAAAGCAACCAAGTGTTATGTATGTAAGTATGAAAGTTTAGGTGTAAGATATGTAAATACAAAGGAATTGTGTGCTACGTATGTAAATTTCCCCTTTCCCTTTTATGGAATAAGGAATACCTCTGTTTATGACAGCACTTTGATCATCAGGAAGTTTATATTGTGAACCACTCCAACATGGATTCTGAAAGCATGCTTTGTTTTCCCCTTCATTCTGTTTGGTCTTTTACTACAAGCTATACACTCATTGTTTTTGGCTTACAACATGAATTGTAAAAGACAAAAAACACAGGAGCCCAGAATACACCTTGGCACTGAATGATTTATGATATATTACTTGAGCTTTTTCCCTGAACAATTAATCTTCTATTCATTTCTTTCATCATTTAAGTCGTCATTATGTATGTTATTAAACTCTTTAAATTAGGGCTTAAATAGCTCCTATGGAGGACTGTTATAGCCCCAATTTAAAAAATTTTGGGACTAATTTGACACTTTTACAGACTCTAGGACTAAAAGAACCCCATGTTAATCGCCAGAGGACTATTTTTCGCACTTTACTCTTGATGTTAAAGTGAAGTTTTGCCAACTCATCAGTCTTTTTGCTCATAGTAATTGTATTATCGTTTGCTTTGCACCAAGTGCCTGCTTTCAATTATTTGGTGTTTCCAGTTTTTCTTTTTCCTTAAGACCGTATTGGCTTGGCTCATTGTTCATCTTCTTGACTGCTCTCTCTGTCAAGGATTTGTTCGTAGGAGAATAAATAGGTCATTGGAAGGATTGTTTGTTAGGAATTTAATTGAAGCCATGAAAGTTTTGTCTGGTTCTTTATACTCCTAATTTCATGACACACTATCACTCGATCATTCTTTATAAAGAGTTCATTTTTTATTTTTTTTTTATCTTATTTATATTTCACATACGTACTGCACAATTCTTATGTATTTATATGTATCTAAAATCTAAACGTTGATATTTACATTTATAACTCTGTTATGAAAAACTAAATGTGTATATCGCTTTTAAAAAGATTGTCATAATGATATTTTTTATGTGATGTTAAAAGATTTGAGTTGTATGTAATTAATATTAAGTTTAGGTGTTTATTATATAAATATATAAAAATTGTCTGGTTGGTATGTTTGTAAGGAAAAAATATTACCTCAGAAGTACTGATGCATCAGTACTCCAATAAGGTGTCACGTGACATTATGATGAGAGCATTGCATACGTGATACCTCCCCATTACAGTACTGATGCATCATTACTCCTTTGTTTGTAAGTGCTTCCAAATTATTTTGAAATTTGAGAAATTGAATGACATGGAGTTGTAGTTATTGCATGTTGAAAAGATTGGCCGGAAATTCAGTGCAGTATAATTGCATAAATGACGCAATGCCGGCTACAAACCTTAAAATTAGCAGAGCCTGTGCATATATATAAGATTTTATTTTCAACATAGGAAGCATAAATATATTATTATCATTATCTTAAAACAATTAAAACGCATAAGATGTAATAACATTATTTTGCGCATAAATTAAATGAAAAATAATTTTATTGTTAAAAAAAAACATATTTTCAAATTTGATATTAATAGAATGAACCCTAAATTATATTTTATCCTGTATTTAGGGCTTATTTAGTCTTTTAAAGGGAATTGGGTCTCCCACACATTTTCACTGCTGAAGCGCACCTTTATTCATTACAGTATTATTTTCTTTATGTATATAATTTAATCTCACTTTCATTAATAATTAAATAAAAGTCACTTATTTTTATTCTCTTACGTGTAGTAGCACCTTTAATCATCTTGATTGTAAGAATATGATCAGAGCATGGAGAAATATTTGCGTACGTCTAACGTATGCAGAGTTGTGTATGTCGATAGATTATATGAAGGGTATTTGAGGGTTATATCCGTGTTATACTCCCTGTAACCTCCCTATAACATACCTGTAACTAGTAAGTTCCGCGATTTTGTTTTCATATATTGTAAGTTACAGGCAGGTTACAAAAATGTTATAGGGGGTATAACACGAATATAACCCTCCAATACCCTCCCTGTAAGCTACTGACGTACGCAGCTCTGCGTACGTTAGACGTACGCAAATATTTCTCTAGAGCATGAAAATATATCATGCACATTCTTAGGATAGAAAATAATGAGAATATGATTTAAATGTTATTAACAAAATTAGAGATTGTTAGATTTGTATTATAATAAATTAATTAATGTAACTAATTATTCATAAAATATATTATTTTTTTAAAAAATTGTTTTAATTTTTTTTCAAATTGTTTTCTTCATTTGTTTCTCTATCAATATGCTTTGCATTTGAGCACAATTTTTAAAAAGTCAAAATTTATTTTTCATGATAATAAAATATTTTCTGTTTACATATCATATTCTCTATCCTACATTTTTTTCCATGGGATAATTACATGCAGAGCACAAGAAACATTTCTATTTACACAAAGCAACCATCTTGGTGATTTTTTTAACCATGAAATTGATGTATTCATGAAAAAAAATATTACATTAGGATTCTGCATGTAGAGTTACGTGCGGAGTCCAATGAAATTACACCGTGGAGGTGATCGACGATCGACCCGGTAACACAAGAATAACACAAGAAAATATTCTCCTCGTGTTATTCAGATGTTATTGTGTGTTATTCATGTGTTATTGTATGTTATTCAGGTGTTATTATGTTCTGGGAATATTTTTGGTGTTATAATAAAACAATAGTACATCAATAATACTTGAATAACACACAATAACACCTGAATAACATATAGTAACACCTGAATAACACGAGAAGAATATTTCTTTTTGTTACCGGGCATAGACGTAATTTCATTGGACTCCGCACGTAAACCCTAACTCTACATGCGGAGTCCTGATGTAATATTTTTTCGTATTTATGAGTGTGTCATGATTAAATTTATTGTGAATTTGATAAAAATGAAAAATGATCGAAAGAGAACGCTTGTTTTGTAAACAACAATATATTTTTTTTATTCCTCTCATTTCTAATTTCATAATTGTAATGGATTGTTTAACCCTAAAAATGATTGAATCCAAGTAAAATTTAATTAATTCTATAAGTTGAGATTTGATAAACTTTGAGGTATTTAACTTCTTAAAACTGTTTTATATGCAAGTGTTAAAGTTTATTAGACCCCCCCTTGAAATTATTTGACAATTTATTTTAAAATTTAAATTTATAAGTTGAAATATGAATTTAGTATTATATAACAATGATATATTTTATTGAGTCTAATTAAATTTAATTTAAGTCATTGTATTTTAATTATATAAATAACTAATTTATTATTTACTAAAATAATTATTGTCTTATTAATTAATGAACTATAGATTGATTATTTATTTGAATGTAATAAAACGAATTATACTTTAATATGTAATTTAATTTTCATTAAATAATTATAAAATAATTGCTCATAAATTAACACAATTAAGATTATCATTTATTAATAAATTAAACTTATTAAAATTAAATTAAATAAAAATATATTAAATCACTAAACCTTTCTTCTCCTCCCCTTCCCCTTCCCCTTCCAACAAACCTTGCCTACCTGGCTTTCCCCCTCCCCCATTTCACCCGAAACCTTCGCCTACGTTCCCCTTCCTCCTCCTCCCATGCCCGAAACCCGGTTTGGCCACGACTGGAGCTAGCCTGGAACGTAGCCACGGGATTGTGGCGTACAAAGATCTCCGAAGCTCTCGTATATTTCCCATTTACACTCCGCTCCTAGCTGAGTAACCCACCCTCGTCTTTCTTTTCCTTTCTCTCGCCCCCATTCGCGAGCTTCAGCTGCTCTAAATCAATCCACCTTCTAATGGGATTTACTGAACCCGGGAATTAAGACAATACTGAGGTGAAACGGGATTTAAGATCCTGGAGGATTTATAAAGTTGTAATTTTGCTGTTTGACAGGATTTAGGTTAAATCCTGCTACCAAGATTGAGATATCGTAACTTAACTGGGTGGTCATTGCCGGAGGTGGCATATCTTTGAGAATGCAGGGGAAATTCTACTCTGCTCCTGTTCCACCACAGCTATCTGATTCAAGACGGAGAATGAATGAAGCATCTGGGCAGAAGAAGAGAGTTTATCAAGTCTGGAAGGGCAGCAATGTATGTTTCATTGAGTCCCTTTTTTTGTTTTATATTGCAATGAATACCTGCAAGGCACCGATATATGCTTGCAAGTTAACTTTTTTTTGTGGTTCATTGATGACTTGTAGTTGTATGCCTGCCACTTTTGGCTTCTTCTGTTGGTCCCGGTTTTCTCAAGGCAAAAGGAAGGGAAAATGACCCTTTAGATGTTCTGCTGTTAAATTATTAAATATTCTATCCCTGTGAAATTATTTACCTTTCCATTTGAATTTTGTTGCTTATGAGAACTAGAGCCAATGGAACACGGTTGATGTTAGTTATGTTTCTATACACTACTTGCTACTAATGCTAATGAGTGAAATACATAAATTATTTACCTAAAAAACATAATATGAAAAAAAAAAGCATAATTACCAAGTCAAACAACTCCTGTTATTAGCATAAAACAGTTCAAGATAACATTTTTCACTACACTTGAAGATAGCCCAAAAAGACCAAAAAAAAAATTAAAAAAACTTTCTTAGTTTTTGTTAGTGATTGCAATGTATGAGGGTGATCTACTCATTTGAAAGTGGTGATAACACAATTTCTCACGAAGCGACTATTATATAGATCTTGCAAGAATGTTTCCGGTGCAAATAGAGGTTGCATTGTAGCTCTTGTTGATGATGGTTGCAATTCAAGCCAAGACTATAACATAGATCCTAGGGGATATTATTGAGCATAAGTTTTGCAGGCAGTGGTTGTGGTGAAAATGAAGGTTTCGACACAAGTCTTTTGGGCGATACTTACATTGTAAAGTAAATTTGTAGTACAAAAATTGTAGATGACCACCGCTTATAAGATTTTGTAGAGAATTCAAGCAGCTTTTAGAACATGAAAAACATAGTCAAATTAATTAAATAGAGGGCTATTTAGATTTTCTTTTCATAGTACATCCTAGTTTTATTCTAAATATTCCTCTTAATTAATAATATTATACAGTGTGGATTGTACCCTCTCATGATCAACTGTGATCAGGTGTTATTTCCCTTGCCCTAGTCAGATCACTAGGATCAGCCGTTGATTGTCCTGAATTTGGTGCTGTCATTGGTTAGTAGTAGGGCTGTAAACAAACCGAGCTTGAGCGAGCTTAGGCTTGGCTCTTGTTTGACTTGTTCGAAACAGCTCGTGTTCGAAATCGAGTCGTGTTCGAAATCAGCTCGTGAACAGTGTGTTCGTGTTCGACTCGATTTAAATATTCGTGGTCGTGTTCGGCTCGAAATTGACTCGTTAAAATTAAATTGAAAAAAATAGATGTAAAATGTGAGATTCGAATTTGGACCAAATGTATAAAAAGAAGACACTAACCACATTATCACATGAGATGTTATGATTTAAATTTAGATATAAATATATATAATATATTATTATATAAATAATATATGTAATATATTATTATATAAATAGTTATATAATTTCTTTATTTCGAGCTAAAACGACCCCAACAGGAGCGAATAAAGAACTGTTCATGTTCGGCTCGTTTATAATCCGTGCATTAAAAACTTGTTTGTGCTTGGCTCGTTTACTTAACGAACGAGCCAAACATGAGTTACTTAACGAGCCGAACACGAGCTGTTCGTGAACAACGAGCATTTTTGACAGCCCTAGTTAGTAGTGCCTTTGATTGGCGATCCAAATATGGGATGCTGTAAATTGACTCCATGTATTGCTAAATGATTATGGTCGGATTGAATGGAGCAGTCATGTTCAAATTAGTGTCACAAAAAATAATGTTAATGTTTGGCAATTCGGATCACGGTCACCCCTACCAAAACCTATTATTGTGAGTTTGATCCTAACTTAATTGTGGTTGTGAGCTAAACGTGATTCAAAGGAATCATAGTACGAACGAGAGCAAAGAGTTGGTGAGAGTTGTGCTGCTAAGAGGATATCCCCTTCTCTCTTCAAATGGACTCAATTAAGGATAAGGTTTACACCAATTGGAACCTGTCATGGAAACTTTAACTATATAAGACTGTTGGGAATGCGGGCGAGCTTGATTCTGGTTTTAGCAACGTGCTTGGACAAAATGGAGGGAAAGCATACACTATGTTGCAAAGTAAATATCTTTTTTGACCTCTAGATAGACTCAATTAAAAGTAAGGCTCATAACAAACGAAATCTAACATGAAGGATTTAGTCAATACAAGAGGGGATTGTAGAGGAGAAATATTTGAAAAGTTGGACACAAAACAATGAGGGAGAGGATGGTTACCAGAATTTTCATTTGAAAATGATTTTCTTAGTTAAAGGTTTTGAAGGTTTTGCACACCAGCAAACTAAAAATGACTTAGTGAGCCCCTCAACTGAGTGTTCAGTTATGAATTTACTTGTTTACTCTCGAGAAAGACTTAAAATCATCTTCTGATCGTAATTAAAGGGCTTCAAGTTTTATCAAATCCAGGCTTAGGGATATGTAGGATTGGATTTCAAATGCGGGTATTATGACTCTTCCTTGCGCAGGGGTTTGCTTTAGCACATTAGTAACATATTGATAATTTTGATCTTGAAAAAGAGTTTATAAAATTTTAAAACGATTGCATGATTTTTTCAAAGCAGCTATGCAATTTTCAATGCAGGGGAAATTCAAGTTAATGATTCTCTTTGTCAATGCCATATTCTTTGACTTTATGTTCAATTATTTAATGTTTTTCTTAGAGCACATTCAAATAATTTAATATTTTTTAAAGAACATGCACAATTTTGGGGGTTTATGCATGATGAATTTGGTGATTCTTAGTGTATCGGCTTTATGCTTTTGCATGAATTTCTAGTCATTTAATTGAGTAAAAAAGTTCTCTAGTGTTGTTATGTACATGCCACATGAATAATCATCTGAATTTTGATTGTTTATAGGAATATTTTGTCATTAGAACGTGCACAATTCTTCATTTTTAGTTTTAATATTTGCATTTTGTTCACTTGCTTGTAAATGTCGTGATTTTGATTGTGAATTTGCAAATTAGAGTACATTTCACATTTAAGTTGGTACCACAAAAATCATCTTTTTTTTTTCTTATAAATATGAGGATTATTCTTTTCATTTTGATAGTTCAAGTTAAATTCTTAGGGTTCTTGAACATTTTGGGTGTTCATGAGTTTTTAGAAGCACTAATGTTTTCACTTATGATCAATGTAAAATATAAAAAGTAAATTTATATTATATTTTTTTGGAATAAATTAAACGGTTAAAGATTATTTCTAGTGAAAAAGTTAATTCGTATCCTTGAGCATTTTTTATTTTCTTAGTTTATTTTTCTATTTATTTATAAGCAAACTTACACATTTTTATGTATTGAATTAAAACATAAAAATGAATGATGACTTAAAATATTTACAGATTTTAGATAAGTAATTATCATTTAATTCAAACAAAGTCTTAGAGAAGTTAAACACACAAGCATCGTAGAATGAAAATTAAAATAATTAACTGTTATGTTTTACTTCATAAAAAATTTAATGAGAAATATAATGTTCTAAAAAATAAATAGAACTAAAATTAAAGAAATCTATAAAGGTTCACCTCCTTACACAATTACAATATATGAGAGCAAAAAAAGCTAAAAAATCTTGATATGAAGAATATTTGATTTATTTAATTTTTTTTCAAAATAAGCATGATATAAAATTTATTTTTTAATGTATTATAATTATCATAAAATAAATGACTAATTTGAAAAGATATATAATATTTTAGAAATTGAGTTAAATAAATATTTTACTTCGACACTTAAAATAACGAAAATTAAAAATATTTAAAAATGGACTTGAAATAAAAAAATGATTATATTCATAAAAATATAATTATATATAAACTATTAAAATAAATAAATATTTTGGGCTGACTGACCTGCCCAAAAATTCATTGCTCAATTATTTGGAAACTTTAAGAGGAGCTACTTGCCAACGTAATGGGCGACTAGCTCATTTGAAATTTATTTTTTAATATAATTTTCCTTTTCTTATTTGAAATTTTTTTTAATGTTTTTCTTATTTGGAAACTTTTCGCAAGTCAGAGGTAGACCTAGGAAGACTTGGGCTTATTGTATAAAAAATGATTTTAATTTACTAGAACTAAATGAAAATATGAAACTAAATAGGATGCAATGGAGAAAAATGATTCATGTAGCTGACCCCACATAGTGGGATTAAGGCTTTGTTGATGTATAATTTTCCTTTTTTTAATGAAGTTTTTATAATTTTTTTTTTTAAATTTTGCTTTATTGTATTTTGTTTTGTAGGGCTTTTCTATTTGATCCCTTGTAAGTGGCATTTAGGTGAGATTTGGGCTGCTTTTTGGCATCTACCCCCACATGGAGGGAATTTATATTGAGTGCTAAGCTTATCTTTCATGAATAAAAAATGCTCATGAATTTTCTGATTTCAAGTTTTTTATCAACGTATGCAGATCTTAGATTTTTAAGGTGTTGATTCATAGTTTCTTGTAAATAGTGAGAAAAAAATGGATAGACTTATTAATGCTGTCAACTTTATCTTTTTGATGCATCAAATATAATTTTAATAAGAGATGATTGTCCCTTGTATTGTGATGCGCATTGATGGAAAATACACTCCTTGATGTATCTGCTAGTAATAATAGGAGGGCAGCACTGGATGGCAGTCATGCATAGAATATTAGCACGAACATTAGTTTGAGAACGTAACCTGGAGATCCTAGATTGCCCTCAATGTTATCTTGCTCCCTTAGATGGCAATCACTACTTAACCTTGTGTTGTCTCTAGACATTGCCACTTTTAATCAGAGTTTAAATGATAAGTGACCGTTGGGTCAAGTATGTTTGGATTTGGGATGTTGAGATCTTTGTACGAGGATCAATTGTTATTTTTGATAATCATTGAAAATGGGAAGACTTTCTATTGGTGAAATCAAACTATTATGCATGAGAAATCAAGCTAGCAGCGGATGTGTCAAGCTCTGTTGCCTCAATCTTTGTCTGTCTTAAGATTCTAACAGTTAAGTAAGAGAATGTGATGTAGAACTTTTTATATGAAAACCCTAAGATGGAAAACATTATGAGGCCTTCCTGAAGGGTTAATTGAGTCAAGTCAACTCCTGAGTTGGCTGTGGTTCAGTGATGAATGGCTTGTGAGCTAAGCTCAATGACTTAACCAGTCAAGTTTGAGCTAGTCTCAACTTGACTCATTTAAAACATTTTAGTAAAAAATACACCTAAAATGTATACAAATTCAAGAGTTTAAGCATAAAATTGTTGAAATATTTAAAAGTTATATCTTACATATGTATATTAAGTAATTTCTTATGATTGATTCCTTAATTTTTTTTTTCATTTTAATACAAGAACTGTTTGAATCAAAATCATTTTTTCTTTCATAATAATGAGTTGGATCATGAATCGACTCAAACTCGTAGAGTTTAATTTGAACTTAGAGCTTGAAATTGATTAATTAATCATGCTCAAGCTCAAGTTGGATATGGATTGAGCTTTCATTGACTTTTTTACTTTTTCATGCCTTCTTTAATTGAACAAATTCAACTAGTATAAAAATGTTGCAATGCCCTAGATTTTATAATGATTGGAGAAGCATTACAAAGGAATGAGCACTTATAGTTATTGTCCATAGTTTGAGTGTATGATGGTGGTTGACAAACTTCAATGTAGCTGCGACTTAAATCTCATAATTTACTACTTTGGTGTTGGTGATGATTGTGGTGTAAGTGGAGGTTGTGCAGTTTTATAGACGATGGTTCTTTTACAAGTGAACATTACAGCTAAAGTTTTGTGGAATACACTGCATTTGTTGGCCTTGCGAGTGACAATTGCGGTTAAAAAAAGTTACAATACAGGTCATGCGGGGGGTGATAGTTACAATGTAAGTCTTACATATGATGGTTGTTTATAAGGCAGAGTGGCTTTCAGCGCCTTAAAAATTCTCCTTAGGGTTCTCAAAGGCATCTGTCTTTTCCAAAATATTGCTTGTAATTATGAATAAATGATGGTGCAAATTGCACACCCCCCTCTCAAGAGCAAATAATGATTGGATGATGCTGCCCCTGTGATGTCTCAATTGCTTCTTCAAGATCAGGGCTAGCCTAGGTGGATAACAGTGATATGGTAGCTGTCGCAACTTGCAATGCTCTGACTTTAATTCAAATTTTCCATGTTATAGATATAGATACCAAAAGTGCATCAATAGTTAAGAAGTTTTGATATTCGGATTGATAAGAATAATTTCAAGAATATTCATTGTCTTTAAATTATCGTTGTTGAAAATTTGTAATAATGTTTCGCCATTTTTAGATGGATCTTGTGAAGGCCCTATTGAGCGTGAGAAGCTTTTTTTTTTTTTTTAAGATTTTTATGCAACTAAAGTTTTGTCAACAGCAATTGAGGCCATCTGTGGCTGAGCTCGAGGGGACCCTAATTGGGATTGGCCTTATCTAGACTTGTTTTTTTCAGTCTGGTTTCCTTTATGTAACTTGTATGGACTTGTTTGAGCTCAAATTTAATATCTAGGCATTAATCAATTCATTTTAATGATCTTTGTGTTTGCGATCTAAGACATTAGTTTAGTGTCCATGAATCTGATAAAAATTTTATGATAAACAAATCTGAAAGTTTGCTTTAGATTTTTTTTTATTTTTAATTCTCTTGTGATGCTATGTTCTTCAATGTAAAACACATACACGTGCGTGTGCGTGCGCACAAAAAATGCAACATCTAACCAAACAAGCACAAGCTAATGGGTGGTTCACCTCCCTTGGATTGCTAAGTGAGCTAGCTACTCATATGAGCTATGAATATATCTTGTCCAAGTATTGGTTCTAGAAAATTTATTCTAGGGAAGTTCACCTAATCTGGTCAAGCTAACTTTGGATGCTATCGTTCTTGTTTGATCTCTTTGATCTTTCTTTTCTAGAGCATTACTTAAAATCAGGTGGTGTTCCTTACAAAAATTAGATTTTGATGATTTTTAGAATCTGCTTGGTTAGCACGAACATAAATGATAAAGGACTTTCAAGACAGAATTGAAACGTTTAGTATTGTTGAAATATTATGCCAACAAAGTTAGAACCATTATTATGTCTGTCATATTACCAAGGCTGTCAGCAAAGTTCTTTCGAAGGTGGAAGTCAGTAGAGATTGATTGATTCTCGAAGAAGGTAAATAACATATGAAAATGCTAGTTAACAATAATGTTTCTGTTTGACTTTCTTTTAGTTTATTTTTGTTTACTATTATGGGGATTTCATGCCAAGATGTGTGTTTCTTGTTTATTATACTACCTGCTGTTTGCCATTCTTAACTTAAGAATGCAAGGTTGGGGATAATTTTATTTAGATAGTGCAAATTGCATCACAAGTTGTCCAGCCTTGCAATTTATCTGGAATGTCAACTGCCAATGTATTTTTTAGATATACTTCATTGAAAGAGAACTAATAATTTGATTTTTCTAAAATATCTTGCAGAGATTCTTCCTTGGTGGAAGGCTCATATTTGGTCCAGATGTGTGGTCTATGGTATTGACAATATTTCTAATTATAGTTCCAGTGCTTCTGTTTGCAGTGTTTGTTTCAGAAAGGCTGGCTAATGAATTCCAGCATCATTTTGGGGAACTGATAGTGGGCATACCAGTTGGCTTTGCATTCTATGTGAGCTCGTCTTCTGTTTATTTGAATATTTAATCATCTGAATTATTTCAGTATATTTAGGTGTTTCATATCTGTTTCCGTTGTCTCAACATTGAGGAAAAATTACATTATCATTGTACTGATTATGATGAGATGGGTTTATTTTGAAATCATTTAGATTATTTGAATCATTCCTTTTTTCCAGTCTTTCAACATGCTTATACTTTATGAAGTGCCATCTATAAATTTGGCCACAGAGTAGTTTCTGATTTTAAGATTTGCTTTTTATAATTACTCTGGATTAATATTCCGGCCATGGTTAAGCTCGACTAAGGACGTAAATACTGCAAACTGGGATGCAAAATGAATTTAATTAGTTAGTTGAAAATATATTTACTTTTATCTGCATTTTATAGCTTTGGAAGCATTACTTTCTATTATTAATATGAGCTTTGGGTTATCACTTTTCTCTTTAGATTTATTCATAGCGCTATTTATGTGATGTTTTTGAAATTCATTTAAGCGAAAGTTCATTATACCATGTTTGTAATCCGCTTGAAGAAAGTCTTTAGGTTGCAGGTTATTTTGTTAATCATTGAATGGGTAGAGTGTTCTGCATGGATACACATTCGTATACATGATTTTATTTTATGGCAATTGTGAATTCTATACAAGATTTAAAATTCTGCAATTGTGTATTGAGAATTTTTCATTCGTGAGGTAAGGTATAAGCCTCAAGGCGTCCTAGGGCGTAAGACCCACAATTAGGAAAAGAAAATTGCGTAGAATAAAATTAAAGGTAAAAAATGAATATATTAGCATCACGTTCTATAAAAATATTAAAGAAAAACATTAGTATCCTAACATAATAAAAAGTGAAAAATTGTACGTATATCAAATAATAAATTGTGTATGTGCAAAGTATTATGTTTATCAAATAACATAAATTGCATGGTAAAAATGTAATATTGACATCAACTGATTAAAGTCACATAAGACATCAAATGAAAGTAACATTAGAGTATCATAGTAAAATAAGATATAAGATGAGTTTAGTATTAAATTTCTTTCTCCTACTGTCCAACAGAATAATATCCATAAATCAAAATAAGAATATAGTAATTAATCATAAGGTGTAAATACTCTCATCACTCAGCTGGTCTTTATTGGACTCATCATCTTAATAAATAGTTTTCTGACTCATCATCTTAATAAATAGTTTTCTTTCTTGCCTCTTCCTGACACGGGTGTGATGGTTTTCTGCATGGATGCGGGAAACAAAGCCAATCGGTTTAACCACGGGCTGGCATAAGGGACGGTCCAGGGGATTGGGTAGACTTCCAAAGTGTTGAGTGGCATCAAGCGGCTCGTAAGGCTTTCCTTTCACGACTCCCTCCCAGATCGAGCGGCATCTAGGGAAGACGGCTCTGTCGGCACTATTTTTGGTGTGGGGTTTGCCCGTAAGAAGTTGTCGGTCATCGGAATTGAAATCCCGTTGCCCGTTTCGGAAGGATGTTTTTTTTTTAAAAAAAATTTTAGTTTTGAAAAAGATGAAGTCAAACTGACCCCATAATTTTCATAGTTTAAATGAAAGAACGCTTTACCTCAAATCCTGTATCTATCCCGAAGGATGAGAACACAAGAATTGAGGGTGAGGTTCGATCAAATAAACTAAAGAAAGTTATGACATCCGTTTGGTCTGCGAAAACCAATATATTGGCCGACAAATTCCCCTATTTAATATAAGGAATTAAATAGGGTTTATATTATGCTGGGTTCGGGAAAAGCTTCCTATAAGGGCAAACCCCTATAGTTAATTACATCTTAGATAACTGAA